CAGGAATGGGGGTCTGCCCATGCCAACTGGGGGCTGTGTGGGAATGTACATGGGATCCCCACAGGAACAGGGCTGCACGTCCTCCTTACCAGTTCTGTTGCGGGTGTCCAGCTGTCAATCCCTGGGCATGAACCAACCAAAGGGGCTTTGTGCCTCAGGGAACGGTCCAGTCCCCAGTGTGTGCAGGGTGCTGGGCCCCCCCTGACCTCTTGCTCCCTTCTGCCTTCTCTCAGCAGCACAGTGGTGTCTCCGATGTCCCTTCTGCCTTCCTGCCTAGAACGGCCCAGCTGAGCCCAGGACTGGCTCCTGCCTCCAGCCCTTCCCAGGCTGCGCTGGGCCCACTGGCGGGCACCCAGCTGGGCCCGCTGCTGGTCCCCAAGGTGGAGCGGCTTTCCCCCACGTTGGCCTGCGGTGAGTCTGGGGTGACCCTCAGACCAAGGGCATGACCCACCCGGCTCTGCAGCAACATGTACCAGGAGGTCCACGGCAGAACAGCACCCCAAGGACCCTCTGCAGGCACACAGCCCTGTGCTCCCGACCTGGGACCTTGTGGCGGCCCCATGCAGCCAGTGTCAAAGGCCATGGGTGCTTTCTCAGTTCGCTGCCAGAGCTGGGAGCCCCACAAGCAACTCCATGCAGGGCTGGTAATGGGTCTGGGATTACCCCAGATGGCTGCAAGTGCAGCACACTGCAAAACCCCATTTGCTGCAGGGAGAGAGTTTGGACCAAATGCAAATTGTCTGTGGGAATGTTTCATTTCAGCTTCAATTCTAGTTACTTACAATTACCAAACTGAGTATGGATGATCTCTTTTACAATTACCAAGCCGAGTACAGAGGCACAGCCCCTTCACCTGGTTTGTTCTCTACAAGCAAAAAAGAAGCAGGAAAAGACAAAAAGGAGCAAAATGTCAGGCTGCGGTTTTGAAAACCCTGAGCTTGGTTTTTGAGTGGGAAACACCCTCCTTTCACTCACAGGAACCAGAGTGTAGCCTGGAAATCAGGTTCTTGTGTCATTTCCAGTTTCACTTTGCTATTGCAGACCACAGCCTTTCTGCCCCCAGGACACTCTCCTGGCAATTTCTGCCCTCAGAAACACTGGAAATTCAAAATGCTGTGCCCCAAATGTTCTCATTTTCTGAGCACTTTGTAAAATGAGTGTGATTTCCTGGGTGGGATGGGATAAGAAAAGGCAGTAAGAAGTAGCTGGACATTAGACCAGAGGCCCCCATCAGCTAAGGAGGGTTGGCTACCCCTAGGCCAGGATTAGCAGTGCAGACTACTCCCTTCTGCTCAGAGCCCAGAGCCAGCCGGGAGGCCCTGGAGCTAGCCACCATCGTAAAGGGGTGCTGCTGCTGACGGTCTGCCCAGACCATTTTGTTTCGTTTTCCAGGCAGCGACTGGCCCAAGCCCAGCCAGGCCTCCCCAGGACCCACTGGGGGGCTGAGCCATGGGATCTCAGTCCACCACCAAGCACCTCGCCAGGGCAGGCCTGAGTCCAGCAAGGTAAGGCAGGAGCCAGCACTGCCCCCTGTTGGGGCAGACCAGCAATCTGTGCAACCAGTACCCCCTTCCCTAATGACTCCCAAATTCACTCCCATCTATTGCCACTCCCTTGCAGTGAGTGCTGGGCCAGCCCATCACGGATGTGGTGGGAAGCACAGGGCCATCCCCACTGTCCCCTGCCAGGAGGTGCCTGACTCTGCCCTTGCCCACAGATGGAGAGCCGTCGCATCACGCATATCTCCGCTGAGCAGAAGAGACGTTTCAACATCAAGCTGGGCTTCGACACACTGCACAGCCTGGTGAGCACGCTGAGCGCCCAGCCCAGCATCAAGGTGAGTGCAAAAGGCTGTGTGGGCTGGCCAGCTAACCCTGGGCACATAAGGACAAGGTGCATTACCTTGTGACACGATGTGTCCCAGTGTGCACCAGCATGCAGGGCTCCAGCTGCCATTCTTGCACCCCTCCTGCCCTGCATTGCCACCCTGTGGGGCAGCCGGTGGGGCTGGGAGGGGGCAGCTGGCCCAGGCCAGCGACAGTGCAAGGGGTCTGGGCCCACGTTAGGCATGTGGAGTCTTGCGACGGTGGTCTGGGATTGTTATGGAAGCAATGGCAAGGCTTGGCAGCTAGCCATGAAGCACATAGTGCTCCCAGCCCCCTTGGCTCCCTCCACCTCCACTCAGCCACTTGCCCAGATCTTGGCACAGGGTGACCCATGCCCTGCCTGCCACTGGGGTTCCCTTTGCCTCCTCACCCGCTACAACCCTACAGGTTAGCAAGGCCACAACACTGCAGAAGACAGCAGAATACATCTGCAAACTGCAGCAGGAGCGGGCAGCCCTGCAGGATGAAGCGCAGCGGCTGCGGGAGCAGATCGAGGAGCTCAACGGCTCAATCAAGTAGGGAGGCATGGCTGCGGGGAGGTGGGAGGAAGCTGCTCCCTGCGGGGGGACAGGCAGGGCAAGGAGCAGCACCAGGGAGGACATAGCAGGTCTCTTGAGCACCTGCCAGGGAAGTGGGACCTGCATTTGACTGTATCCCCACAACCCTTGTTTTGGGGGCATGCTCAAGAGGCAACGCTGTGCAGGACTGGATTATGGATGCATGCCCTACAGCTGTCTTGGGAACCAGAAGCTGTGGCTGAACAGAGGTTCTGCCTGTCCAAAACATGCAGAGTTGCTGAGTGCCACTGAGAGCTGCACATCCAACCAGAGCCTCTCTCCACTTGAGGCAGCTGCCCTGAGCTCATGGCCTCCTGAATGCAGCAGACCCACAGCACCTCTTGTGTCCCCACAGCCTGTGCCAGGAACAGCTGCCCGCCACAGGGGTGCCCATCACACGCCAGCGCTTCGACCAGATGCGCAGCATGTTTGACGAGTACGTCCGCTCCTCCACGCTGCAAAACTGGAAGTTCTGGATTGTATCCTTTGGGGCCAATGCCTGCTCCTCGCTCTCCCCACTCCACCGAGCCCCAGGGTCCTCTGGTCTGCCTGCTCTTCCCTAACTGGGTGGGACACCTCCAGCTCCAGGGGCTCTGGGAACCACAAGGGGATGTTTCTCAGTCAATGGCACAGGCTGGGAACATGCTGATAAGAAAGGTAAGAAGCAGCTCCCATTACAAGGGAACAAATAGAGAACAGGAGTAAATGGTCAGTCCTCAGGGAGAAGAGAAGTCACTAGTAGGGCTGAGCTGACCATCACCATGCAGAGGAGAGCTCGTACTGACATAGCACCTGGCTCTGAGATGCCAGCAGCCATTAAAACAGATTAGGAAAGGAAGGACTCTAGTGTGGGCACTTTCCTGCTTCCCAGTGAGGTCTTACAGGTGTTTATGTTTCTTTCACCCTGTAGCAGTACAGCCTGGTGCCCAATATGGTGCTGGGTCAAGGAAGGCAGCCAGCAGCCTCTGGTCTGTAGCAGGGAGCCAGGGAGGTTGGTCCTGCTGCCTGTGGGATGGCGCTGACTGTACTAGGAGTGAGCAGGAAAAGGGGTGAGGAGATGGTGACCTTGGTGAGGCTGATCCTTAACTCCTCTGCTCCCATCAGTTTAGTATCATCATCCGGCCCCTCTTCGAGTCTTTCAACGGCATGGTCTCCACCGCCAGCATGGAGAGCCTCACCCAAACATCTCTTGCCTGGCTGGACCAGCACTGCTCCCTCCCGGCACTTCGGCCCAGTAGGTAGCCCCTCCCCTGTGGCCACGCCAAAGAGGCCAGGTTGGCCTAGTGGCACAGACTGCCTGGTTTGGGAAGATCAGAAGGGCACAAGGAGGGAGGTGTCCTGGGGAGAGGTGGGGTTGGCACTGCACAGTGCCCCAGCTGCAGGGGGGGAGAGAAGCACCTACAGGACACGTCCTGGGGCAACACTGTTCCATGCTCCTTTCAGTTCCATGCTCCAACTAGGCCTGTTGCCTCTGCCCTAACTGAAAGTGGGAGCCCAGACCCTAGCTGGGCAGAGTTCAGCCATCCCCAAAGCCCCTCAGGTGGGTTTCTGTTCACCCTCTCTGTCGGATGCATGCGGCAAGGAGCAGTCCTAGGGGCTGTGGCAGGGCTGAGAGTAGGGAAGGGAAGAGCCATCTCCCCCAAGGAAAGATAAACACAGGCCTCTTCTGGCACCCTGCAGCATGGGGCACACTGCCAGGGCCCTGAGCCCTGAAGGCAGGCTGCCAGTTGTGGTGGAGGAAGCTGATGAGTCCCGTGTGTCTCTCCCCAGCTGTTCTGAGCTCTCTCCGCCAGCTGAGCATTTCCACCTCCATCCTGAGTGACCCGGCTTGTGTCCCCGAGCAGGCGACGCAGGCGGTGACGGGAACAGGCCACAGCACCAGCTCCTCCTAGCTGCCCTTGAAGATGGGCCTTCCCAGCCGGAAGAGCCTTGGCAAAGCCCTCAGTCCTGACGGATGAGCACTCGCAACACCAGTGACCGGGGGAGGCCCAGGAAGACATGGATGCCTCCATGATACAGGGCTGTGCTCGAGGCACCAGGCAGTGACTGGTAGGAGCTTGGTGGGAGAGGGTGTAGTCCTCCCTCTCCTGCAGGTGCAGGCTTCAAGAGTCCTGTGCTGGAGCTTGCACCCAGCAAGGCACAGAGCTGGGGGCTGCTGCCTACGCTGCAGGTGTCTCTGAAGTGGCGCCTCACCACCCCGGGGCTGGCTCAAACTCCAAAGCCAGCTCGTGAAGCGCAGGCAGCATCCAAGTGGCCGGGTTGTGTGTGGAGCCACAAGGCTCCCTCAGCAATAATGACCCCCGCTTCGCGCCACCCCAGAGCAGGGAGCTGCTGGTGGCGGGGCTGGGCTGTGCCGCTGTACCTGTGCGATAAAGGACTCGCTCTGCTTGCACCTTGGTGTGGTTCTTCCTGGGACAGCCTGGCCTGGCGGGGCGAGGTTGGGCAAGGCTGTGGCGCAACACTTGTGGCAGGTGGGCTGCAGCCAGGCCTAGCGCAGAGCACGCAGCAGAGGCCCCGAGGTGGCAGGGGCAGGCCTGGGACAGGGGCAGAATAAGGCTGGGCAGGGCCAGGCCTGGGGCCAGGGCCATGTCGGGCAGGGACGAGGCGGGAAGGGCCTAGGCAGGGGGTGGGGCAGTGCTGAGCAGAGGCTGGGCAGAAGCAGGGGCTTGCCAAGGCCAGGGCTTGGCGGGGGGGTCTAGGCA